GGGTGGGCCTTATCAAGGGGCCTAGGCAGTTTCTTTATTAATAAGAAATCACTCCCACATCAGACAGGTGGATCTACAGAGTGAATTCCAGGAGAGCCGGCCAAGGCTACACAGAGAAACCCTGTATCGAACCCCCGCCCCAAAATAAACAGCATGTTGAATAGGTTAGGTCGAATAATAGGTATTAACATTAACCTCTCTCTCTCTCTCTCTCTCTCTCTCTCTCTCTCTCTCTCTCCCTCCCCCCCCCCCCCCCTCCCTCCCTCTCTCTCTCTCTCTCTCTCTCTCTCTCTCTCTCTGTAAGTGTGTGCTCGCGCACGCATGAGTGGTTAGGCACGTGCTTGCCCTGGAATGTGTGTGAGGCTAGAGGACAACTCTTGGGAGGCAAGCTTCACCTTTCTTCTTGTTTGCGCAGGGCCTGGACAGTTTCTGTCCCTTCGCTGTGCATTCCAGGCTAATTGGCCTTTGAGTTCCTGGCCAATTCTCCTTCTCTGCCTCCATCTCCGTGTAGGAGTGCTAGGATTACAGACGTAAGCCATCACATCTGGCTTTTAAGCACGGAACCATCTACTGGCCCTCTCGGTTTCTTTTTACTTCTTTTTGATCTTAGTCAAGAGACTATGACGCAATTTTATTGCTTTTAAAGATTTTTTTACTCTTCTCTCATACATTACATCCCTACCCAAGTTTCCTCTTCCTCCACTTCAATCCTTCCCCCACACATCCTCTATCCCTGAGATTCACTTCTCCATTTCCCTTAAAAAAAAAAAAAAAGAGTTGGCTGGAACCAGAGTCTGGACAGCCCAGAGTCCCAGGATAGAATCAAATATAACTGACAGAAAAAAAGTCAATGAAATGATTCCTACTATCATTTTGCTATACTCATAGATTAGAGCCTAGCCCAACTATCATCAGAGAGGTTTCCTCTGGCAACTGATAGAAACAGATGCAGAAGCCCACAGCCAAACATTAGCCAGAGTAGAAAAGGGGAGGAAGTATTGTAGGCTCCTGAGGGGTTGAGGAGACCATGAGAACACAGCCCATCAAATCAACTGAGCAGGGCTCAGAAGGGCTCACAGAGACCGAAGTGACAAAAATGGATCTTTCTTGGGTCTGACTTAGGACCTCTGCGTATGTGTTATGGCTGTGTAACTTGTGTAACTTGTGCTTATGGGACCCTGGTGGTATGGAAACCTAGTGCAGTGGAAACTCCCTGGAATCTACAAGGGTGACCCTAATGAAGACTCCTAGTAATGGCGGATACAGAGCCCAAGCCAGCCATCTTCTGTAACCAGTCAAGGCTTCTCAGAGGGGACTGGCACACCAACCCAGCCACAGAACCTTCAACCTACTCTTTGTCCTGCCTGTAAAATGTGCTGTGCTAAAGGTGGTGCAGAACTTGTGGGAGTGGTCAACCAGTGACCCAGCTAACTTGAGGCCCACACCTGGCAGAGCCTGGATGGTTGTTGACAGAAGTTTCTGTCCCGCTTATTCAGTCCTAATGAAACACGCAGAGGTCTACATTAATTATAAACTGGTTGGCCTCATAGCTCAGGCTTCTTATTAACTCTTACAACCTACATCTTAACTCATAATTCTTTTCTGTGTTAGCCAAGTGGCTTGGTACCCTTATCGGCAAGGCATTCTCATCTTGCATCCTCTGCATCTGGGTGATGACTGCAGACTGACTCTTTCCTCTTCCCAGAACTCTCCTGTTCTTGTGTAGCCTGTCTCTATTTCCTGCCTGGTCTCCCCACCCATACTTCCTGCCTGGCTACTGGCCATTCAGCATTTTATTAAAATAATACAAGTGACAGGATAAAAGGCCATTATCTGTATGCGTGCTTTGTCTGCATGTATGCATGTGCAACATGTGTGTGCAGTGTCTACAGAGATCAGAAAAGAGCATCAGATACCCTGTGACTTAGAGTTTCTATTTCTGTGAAGAAACATGACCAAAGGCAACTTGGAAAGAAAAAAGTTTATTTGAATTTTACTTCTGAATCACAGTTCATCATCAAAGGCAGTCAGGACAGGAACTCAGGAAAGTCAGGAACCTGGAGGCAGGAACTGATGTAGAAGCCATGGAGGGATGCTGCTTACTGACTTACTCCTCACGGCTT